GGAGTTACATGATATAATTAAAATCTGAAATCTAAATTTCAGATTTTGATTAATTAATTGTGGTCCCCACCTAGTTAAAATTTCCCACCTCTCTCCTCTCTACATGGTCGGCCAACCCTCATACCTCTCCCCCTTTTAATTGTCTTTAATACCTCATTAACCCCTTCCCTCCTAATCTTAATTTCAATTTCAAATTCTGAAATTAAAATTAGAAGGATGCCAATTCCGGAAATCTGAAATAAATTTCAGATTCTAGCTTTTCTCCCCCACAACTCCACCCGCCCCTAGCCCCTCTCCCACCCGTGACTCTCCTCCCTCCACGAGCTCACGTTTTGCTCTCTCCTCTCCCCTCTTTGTCTTCATCACTCGCTACCACCATGCATGGCGGACCCCGAATTTGAATGGAACTTTGGATTCGTACATGACGAGCGAGATCAAGTTGACATCCTCCAATCACCGTTCTTTGACGTGGGCTTCGATTTCGACGATACCATTGAAGATTACATCGACCGTATCCATTACACCTTAGTGGATGTGATCGACGAGCAAAGATCAAAGGGACGCTGGATCATCCTTGGACGACCGTCATCCTCCACCACTCTGGCCACCTATCCAAGAACGACGATCTTAGGCTCTTTCTTCCTCGCAGTGACCTCGGTTCTAATGTGGAGACTCTTCTTCCGCTAAAAGCCTAGACTAGTTGAGCGTATGGGCTCCAAAGGTGAAAGTTCTCATTATTAAATCGCGGAATCTTGTTTATCGCCATAGTTTTACAATTGATCTTTGCGTTTTCTTAAATTGTTTGGTTAACCGACTTCGCTCTTCTTTGCCTAAGCAAGTTAAAAACTAAGAATTCTAAGGGTCAATCATTGTTATAAGTAATAAATTTATTGTGAAAACACTTTGTTAATTTGCTATCTTTAATTTCCTAAGTAACTCCCGCTGATGTGAATTTGTTTCACATCAGCCTGCTACTGTTTTAAGCTTTAACCATCTTTTTTCTCTTCCTTGATCTATGAATATTTGCTGTCAAAGTAATTTCTTAATGTTCTTCCATAACAATTAAGTTTATATTTTTATATAAGAAGAACCATATTAAATGCTTTTCACTTGCTTTAATTCATATTTAACGGAATCAAATAGAGATATTTCCTGAAACCAGATTGTAATAGTGGTTGTGCTGTACAAAATGGGCTATATGGTTCTTCTAAGCTTAATGGCTTTTGTATGCATGTTGGATAATGAATAGCTGAAAAGACTTGAAGGAGTTTAATTGAAACGATTTCTCTTACCTTTACTTTTTTAAATGATATGTCGTGGTATAAAAGCTTGTGAGCAAGAAACTTCTTTCAAAAGTGGATGTAATGGGAATTTCATCTAATTCTTGATATATATTTTTTAGAACATGATGCACATAAAAGCTTTCATGGATTGCAATTTACAAAAAATATGTTGAATCATCCACTATAAACCATAAAGTTTGTTACATGATCATAAATTTACATTACCTTTATGAAATTAACATTAGCAATATTAAACTATATTCTTCCTACTATGAATTTTGGGTTGTCATCATAGTTTAAAGCTTATTAATCTTTATGTACAGGAAAGCATAGCTTAATGTCAGATTGATTTGATCTTTGAACTATATTTGTTGTTATGGTCTTAGTTCCCGATGAATCAGCATATAATTTCAATGCAATATCTCCAATGTTCCACGTTTGGTACCTTTCTTCATCCCGTTTAACTTGTGCGAGCTTAGATTTAAATGAGAAAAATAAGTTAACAGAACCATGTTTGGATTGTGAACAAAGTCGGGACTAACTCTTCGTTTGGGACGACTTTTTTATTGCTTCTTAAAGTTGAGTTTTGATGGGGACATCGATACGAGATTTCGACGCGTCTATCAGAGGCGACACAGGAGATCGATGGCCACGATGGAGTCTCTACTTTTGACGCATTTTATGTATTAGTCATTATTAATTCTTTAGTTTTCCGTTTTTGCCCTTATGGGTAGTTGGTCACTATTGTAGCCCGAGGGGCATTGTTGTCTTTTGTTTATTTGTCATTGTGAGGCCTATATATATGGTCATTCTCTTATGTATTGGTTAATGAATGATTGAATGAAAACTTTATCTTGTTTCGTCTTCTTCTTCTTGCATGAGAGCTAGAGAGAAGTGAGAGAGAAAGCCCAAGATAAGGGCGAGCGCAATACCCACCAGTCATTGGAGGAGTCTGTGGCTCGTGGTCGTTATCTTTTCCCCTCAACTTTCTTCCCTACCCACCACCCTCCCCCCACTTGCTCCCAAGCCGACGACTCCACTTCCTCCACCTCCAACTTCAAGTCCGGCCACCCCAATTGTTCGATTATCACCCACTAAATCTTCCCTAATCCCTATCATCAACCTACTCCCAAAATCCCCACCCGGATTCCTATCTCCCCTCCACCATACCGCCGGCCTCCCTCTTTGCCCTCACCATTATTGAGGAGTAATGACATCATGATACCTTACCAAAATAAACCCCTTTTTGAGTTAGGAAAGAGAATTCCCCAATTTTGAAATTCAAATTTGAATTTCCAAATCTTTCCTAATTTGCCCTCCGCCATATTTAGAAAGTTTGAATCTCATTCAATTTAATTTTAAATTGAAGCGGATTTAATTATTTCTCCTCCTTATTTGGTGGGCTGCATTTAGAAGCTTTTAAATCTCCCCAATCTCCTCCCTCTCTCTCTCTCTACAAGCCGCCGGCCATGCTAGGGTGAAAGCCCCATTAATGCTAATTCAATGCATTAATTGTAATTGATTTGGATTTCAAATTTCATAACCTCCCTCCCTCTCTCTCTAAGCTGCCGGCCACCTTTGATGGGCTCCCATTATTTGCCCATTAACTCCCCTTTAACTCCTTTGAAATTTGAAATTAATTTCAATTTGAATTTCCCTCCAAATCCACTTAAAACCTGAAATTAATGCAAGTTTTTTTATTAAAGATATATTGCTCTTGGCCTAAACCTAATTGCTCTCTCTTGGAAAACCGCCGCCCCTCTCTTCTCCCTCTTCCTTCCTCTCAAACCACAAGTGCTCTCCCTCACCACCTCATATCTCCTTTCTCCTTATTGGTGTTCTTTCATTGCCAGCAAGGATGAATGGCGGATCCCGAAGTTGATAGCGGATTCGTACTCGACGTCTACGGAGACATCCACATCGCTCGATTGCCCTTCTTCAACGTCGGGTTTGGCTTTGACAATACTGTCGAGGATTACTTGAATCGAATCCTCCCTACCCTCGTGGAGATCGTTGACTACCAATTCTCGTACTAAGATTGGACCATCAACGGTCATCCACCCGTGCCATCTCGGTCATCCACCCGTGCCATCTCCACCACCGCCGACCTTTCCGTGGATCAAGACCATTGGCGTTGCGACCGTCCTCGTGGCATCGTTGGGCGTGCTGAAAGCCTTCCTCCGCTAAGCCATACTTTGAGCGTGAGTGAGCATGGTAACTCATAGTGAATTCTCTAAATATTAATAGTGGGATTGTATTACTACGCATTTGTTTTTATTGTCATAATTTCATATTTATCTTCAATTGTTCCAAACTTCAAGTCTTGTAATTGCTTATCATAATAATTTTGCCAATTGAAAGCTCTTGAATCTCGCCTTATGAAACTTTAATTTTCAAGTAGCAAACTTTGTAATTCTTTTAAAATTTCCCGTGCAATTCTTGATTGTTTCACATCAAGTTTTAGTACAAAAAATAAATTGAATCACCATGAAAGTTTGGGAGTAAATTGAGCATTTACTTATAGTCAAGGGATTCTGTTGGGCTTTCACTCATCAAAAAAGGTAATCAAAATCAAACATAATAAGCTAAAGCCTCTTTTATGTAAGATCCAACCATTTTTAGCAACCTAAAACCACCAGATAAAAGCAGAAACAGGAATTATGAGGTCATTATAAAATCATCCCAGTTGAGCAATATTGTCTTTATAGAATGCATTTGAACGTAATGATTAGATTTTGGATAAAGCAAAACAAAAGACAAGCAACATAAGAGGAAGAGAAGCAAATACAAGCTATTAAGCGAGATTTATCCCTAATATTACCTTAATAGCAATTTCAGTGTGGAGAGATTCATCACTAAAAGGTGCCACGTGTATTCTACAAGGCAGCAAAACTAACAAATCAGAAAACATATAATCGTACATATATTTGTTCGGATAAAACTAAAGATATAAAACGATTAAGTGTACAAACATGAATATCAACGCAAACTGCTGGAAAGTAGAAGGATAAATAAACTGAAAAACCTTTTCCATGTTCATGAACGAAAACCATACTAAATACACCTAAAGCTCTTTGACTAAAGTGATTAGGAAATACTTGGAATCAAGTATTTCCTATCAGAAAACCATACTAAATACACCTAAAGCACTATTTAATAATATTGGTGGTATGAGTCACAACTCAATCAATATAGATGGTACAAGTCACAACTTTTAAACTTCATCAAAAACTCCACAAAACTCAAAAAATAATGCATATGACCAATCATCTACTCTCAATTAGAGCACTACTTGCCATAAAATTTCTACTCAAAATGTTATATTTTATAATTTTGAATTTTCTGAAATACCAAAATTATAAAATTGTCATTGGATTTAAATTCCAAATCTATATAAATTTTCAAATAGCATGAACTTTTTATGGGATAGCTTTCTATCCCCAAACTATCTTTAAAACAAAATTCATCTAATTTGATCATAACAATTTTCTCTTTTAGGGTTGCTTTTTGAGTTCAGACCATTCAAAAAAAATACAACTTCTATAAAAAAAATTATGAAAATTGATTAGTAGTCATTTATCACCTATCAATGCCAATGATGGAAATCATAAGCCCAACTTCTATTCTACTACGATTCAAACTTCCCACCACACTGTTAAATTTGTGGCCCTCCATCATCCCTCCAGGACAAGATTAAATAATGGTGGTGTTCATGGGTGGCAACATTGTAAGAGAGATTCAACAAAAAGGTTATCATCCAATAAACTGAGATAGAGTGATCTTCTTACTATGTTGGATAGTTCCATAAAGAAGATTTTGCGAGATTGATTTCTAGAAGGCATTCTCTTCTTACTCCTGCAGGAACAGTCCGAATTTAATAACCACCTGCACTTGCTTCTCAGTTTTTGTAAGCCCCTTCTAATAAGATCACTTTCCTAAGCTAAATGGATGTAAGTTACTTAATATACAAATGAGCATTCTCAAGATTTCAGTCACCTTAATTCCTTCATATGGTTGACCGAACTGCGTGGTTGTTTAAATCCCATATTAATTTCAAATCAGAATCTATGATACCTCAAACCTAAATTTGAAAAAATTAATTCATCTCTTAATTAATCGACCAGAGCTTCTAATAATTCACTAATATAAACGAATCCAACGAAAGAAAATATAAATCATATACATCAGAACACTTGTATATTCATTTATCAAAATTCAATTTACAATTGCCAAGAGATAAATCAACCATCAGTCTATCGCTCTATACTTCTAACAACAAAAGAATAAAAACAAACTACAAAAAAGAAAATAAAACCTGAATCATGATTTGTTTCACTCCACTAGATCCTAATCGCTCTCTGAAAACATAAAAAAACTACATAATGAGCTAACAATTCAGTAGGTTATCAAAACCTATAACCAAAATTAATGCACGGCAGTAAAAAAAAAAATGCATATAATCATTCAATCCATATAAGTACAAACATGAACTGTAACGTCATGTAACAGTAAATATAAGCGGTATCATTTCCGTCATGTAACAGTAAATATAAGCAATTGAAATTATTAAGAGCAATATAATTCAGATTCAATGATGAGTGATTGGTAGACATACAGAGAATCAATTGGTTTTGTAATTACTATACTTACAATGTCACAAGTATGTTATGAATTTATGCATGTTAATAAATTATACTTACAATGACCTGGTTAGGAAAGTTGAGGTATTAGATTCGACTTATGTTAAGAAAGGCAGAAGTAGACCTAAAAAGACTTGGTTAGAAAATATTAGAAATGATCTTTATTTATTAGATTTAAATGAAAATTTGACTTTTAACCAAACACAATGGCGAAAAAGGATTCATGTAGCTGACCCCACACATAGTGGGACAAAGGCTTGATGTTGTTGTTGTTTGTTGCTGACTTGCTGTATTATATGTATTCCATGTACATCAATATACCTACAATATTATGATAGCGAACGTATGTTCTATGCATGTCGTATTATATCAAGTATCAATGCATGTATGTCATGTATTTCTATCATATACAATGCAATATACATATCATGTATTTTGTGTGTATTATATGTCCTTGTATTAATCTTGTTAGTCATATCATGTACTTGTATCAAACAAATCTTGTATCATGTGCATATCATATTATATTATGTTATTTGTGCAAATTTTCATATATGTTCATGTCATATGCATATACAAGCAATATAAGACATTCGGCTGCCTGTTGCATTTTTCCTGTATCCAATCCTATAGGTCAACCTTATAGGAGCTAGTCTCAATCATATGAGTCTTGAAATTATGAATCAATCTCATATCATATATCACAAGTCAGATGGCTTTCATATAATAAGTCATCACTTCTTGTTTATCGGTGTATCATATCATATCAGTCAATCTCCATATACCTCCATTTTCATATCATTTAGGATTACACTACAAACCTTATTTAAAAGAAAGCCCGTCGGCCCACCCTCCTATATAGGGTAACATATCTCCAACAAAGTGAATCAGTTAATTATTTTCTACCAACCTTTTTTTTCTTTTACACACATTTCATATCATTATAGCATAATGGCAACACTATCATTAAATTCATCAATATGCCTTTAATATGCCAAAAATACATGTTAGACTAAAGGATGAGGACATCCATCGGAGATTTCGACATACTTACCATTGGCGAAATCGTAGATCAACGGCTACGATTCATAGTTTCTTTTATGATGTTTTAGTGCATTTCTTTTAATTATTTTTTCAGTTTTCCACTTGTACCCTTATGAGAGATTTGTGTCATGTTGTAGTCTGAGGGCATTTGTATCTTTTACATTTTGTGCTTTGGAGGCCTATATATGAAGGCCCAGTCATTGTATTTTTTTCTAATGATGAATTATGAATGAAATTTCATATTTCTTTGCTTGATCTCTAAGTAAGTTCTTGAGAGGAGAAACCTTAGGTGGGTGAAAGCAATATCCGTCAACCTTCGGAGGATTCCAAGGTTCGCAGTTCTACGATCTCTTCTCTTTTCCTCTACATCCACCTCTTCTCCTAGCCATCTACCCGCCGGCCTCCCCAAACCCCTCCCAGTTTCTCCTCCTAGAGCCGGCCCTAAACAACCCGACAGCTACCCTCCCCCACTTGGCCGCCCAAGCCGCCGGCCCCAATCCACCCGCCGGTCGTCCCTCCTCCACCACCCCACCGAAAGTTCAACCGCCGGCCCTTCCCTCCATTAATCCCTAGAATTGAATTTCAAATAGTTTCCTAATCCAATAAAGCCAAATTATGAAAGTTTTAAATGAGATCCAATTCAATTTTGAATTAAATTGAATTTTATTCCCTCATACCTAATTTGCAAAGCTAAATTAGGAAACCCATAATTATTTCCCCAATCCCCTCTCCCTCTCACCTTGTTTCCGCCCCATGCATGGGCCTCACCCCCTCTTTTGCCTTTTATTCTCCAAGCCCACATTGGATTTGAATTTGAAATTCAAATTCCCTCTCCCCTCTAATTAATGCATAAAATCTGAACTTAATTTCAGATTTATGGTTTTGCCCACATACTTAAAACAAGCTCCCTTCTCCCTCCTCTATATGGTCAGCCCCATTAAGTCCCCCCTCTCTCTCCAATTTAAATTCTTAACTCCATTTAAATTCTCCCTAATTTCCTCCTAAACCGCCGCCCATTTCCCTTTGTGGAATAATTTGAAATTCAAATTATTTCCTCCCTTCCCTCTTAGGAAAAACTGAATTAATTTTAGATTTTCTGAAAATCTCTTTCCACCATTCAAACCCTAGCTCTACCCGCCCCTATCCTCTCCTCTCCTTCTTACCGTCGGCTCCACCAAAGAACCATGCGGATACTTTCAAGCTCATGGATGGCAGATCCGGAAGTTGATCACGGATTCATTTACAATTCTCAAGAGGAGATCGACATCATTCAATCACCTTTCTTCGATCCCGGATTTAGTTCTGAAGGCACCGTCGAGGAATACGTTGAGCGTATTCGCTTTACTTTGGTGGACGTCATCGACGAGCAACAAACTACAGGACAGTGGAAGATCGCAGGATGACCTCCTGCCTCTCCAACTCTGGCCAACTTCCCGTTGATCAAGATCGTCGGCCTCCTCTGTCTTTTAGTGGCATCACTTGGATTGTTGACATCCCTCCTCCGTTAACCCTACTTCTAGAGAGTGAGCAAAAGGGAAACTCGAAGATGAAAGTTATATTTGTTAAGTGTCGGATTATTGTTAATTGCATATTTTTCTTGCTATCGTCTTGTTATTGTCTTGAATCGTTATGTTAATCTATCGTGAAATCGCATGCTAGAAGAAAGTCGATAACTACAAAAGCTGAAAATCCTAACTTAGTGAAACATTAATCATATAAATTCATTGCTAAAACAAATTTCTTAATAAAATCCTGCAATTATGTTGATTGTATCACATCACTAAATGAATAACAAATATATGCATGTCATGTAATTCATGTAAATATATATATTAACTCCTAAGTCCTAATTATTTTATATTCAATATTATACTACTCAGTTCAATTAAAATGACATATAAGCAAAATCAACTTATTAAATTTTAATAAAAACCAATCAAAATATTCAGGGTGTCAATATCTACTACATATCAAAGTAACACGATGAAAAATCACTAAAATAGGAGATAATGCATATTTATTCGGTTTAGGAGGGAGAAAATAGGAAAAAACACTAAATCATTGAAAATAGAAAAAGGTTTAGGGTTACCTAACACGATTAGAGCAACTTTTATAACTGGAGCAACAAAAAATACCGACCTGAACCCAGCTTTCTCTTTCTTCTTTCCCTCGCTTCCTTTCTCTCCCCATGCCTCTCTCTACTCTCACCTAGCTAAGGAATAAACGTGGAAGGGAGAGGTGATGGCGATGGTTTTGATAAAAAGGTTTTAGATATTTTTATTTAAAAAATAAATTTTCAGACCCAACGCCGCAATGCTCTCTCAAATTTCAAACATCTAAGAGCTTGGTGCTCAAACATCTAAGAGCTTGGTGCTGCAGCACTCACTTAGCCAATTTCCTATAATTTAGGATAATTAATTTGGGAATATTATAGAATCAACCTCCACTGAACTTCAATATCACATTTCTAACAACTCTATTCAAATAATTTCTTTCACAGGGCTGTAGTACAATCATCAAAAATCAACGTCTAATAAAGCTAAGCTAAAGCAAAAAAACTCGAGGTTTGCAAAGGTGTTGAAGGCTTAAGCTAGAGGGGGATCAATTAGTCAAAAAGGAAAACAAGTTAGACAGCGAGCCTTTTTGTCCATCTAATTCCCTAATATACTTAAAGTCAATTAAATCTCCTCATATACTTACAAAGTTGAAGAAACTGAAATTCCAAAAGATAATTAAGAGCTCAACTAAAAAAACTGCATACAACGGGAGCATTTTGTGAGCAGGTATGGGTCTTTAGATCCCTATGAATCAGATATGAGACCAAATTTATGGTTCCTTTAGACCCCTAAGAGTTTGATAAGTAACCACATTTCCCTGTAACAGATCAGAAAATAAAGGAAAAGTCATCTTAATCAAAAATTTTGTTTTAGTTTTTCTTATTGCATGGTGGTGTCTCCCTGTGGGTTTGTGTGTATGGAGATTGGAGATGTATAGTTGTCGGGATGTTTGGTCCGCATAGGTGGGGGTGGGCGTGTGGGTGTGGGTGTGGGTGTGGGTGTGTGAAATGGGGTTGCTTAGAGTGAAATACTTGAAATAGGTAAGTCTTTGGGAGAGGGTAGACCACATTAAGGGGTGGAAGGACAAGGCTTCGATGAGCTCATCACATAACTCAGACAAAAATGAGGTCCAGCTGATGCACAGCACCTGAGCTTACGATCAGCCCATTAAAGTAAGGCTGAACGAAACTGGCAATCTAGTCAAGCTGGCTTTTCATTAAGCCAAGCTAAGCCACCACTGCATTAGTTGCTTCAATGTTTTCTTCAACTACCACATCGAAGGTTTTTTCTACACAATTTTGTTCCAAAACTCTTACATTCAGATAACATGTAAAATAGATGTCATCGTCTCAATACAAACAATAATTAAGAGGTAAATAAATAGTTAAAACTAGTTTATCAGGATTACAATGCGAAGCAATTAAAAATGCTTTTCCAAAAAACATTCTAACCTCCCAATTGAAGGAAACATTTTTCCATTTGGGACAAGGAATCTATCTCTTGCAATGATATATGATTCCAGCATCCTTTCATTGACTAGCAAGGTGCCTGAAAGCTTTAAAAGGTGTTACATACATTCAACGGAAAAAGCAAAAGTCCAAAAATATGGTTCTGCTAGCACTAGCGTCAAGAAAGAGTGTGGAAGGACTAATGAATCAACAACACTAAAGTAGAAACTAAAAAGTAACATAACTCGCACTAGTAAAAATAAAAATAATAAATAATAAATAAATTTAAAAAAAAAAAACATAAATCGCACTAGTGAATTAGAATTATTCAACCCATTAAAATAACAATGGACAATACAACAACAACAATAACAATGGACAATAATAAGAAAAAAAGATATCAATTTTCACTGATTTTCGTCACTATTCAAAACTTTAGAAAAAGCAGGTTGCTAGACAAACGGCAGTGGACTACACTAAGAAAACAAAGCAAAATCCAAAATCCAGAAAACCAGTATTTTTCTAACTCCAGCATATTAATCAACAATTGACGAGATTATCATTGTACTGCCTGAATACACAATTAAATGCTAATGTTGGTGCAAGAATACTATAGTGGTTGCCATGCACCCTTAGATCTAAACATATAGTCGATCATCAAATGGCAAGCTAATTAGACCTGCTTTCACTAAGCTAATAAGCAAGAACAGTCTTAAAAAAGTCTCGAGGTGGAATCAGACACATGTTAGGCGCATACATAAAGAAGACAAGCATATAAACGTTTGGAGAGATGGATTACATTACTTCTTTCTTTCTCTTCTTTTCCTCTCAAGAACATTATGGCCATCACTCGGACATAACCAGTTAAAGTTTCTTTTCCCCCTTCTAACTCTTCTCTTGATCACAAGCCTTCATTTCCCACCAAAAATCATGTCACTAGAGGCAACTCAGGCAAGAATTGAAGAAATCCAATCCAATTCACAAGCTACTAACTCCTCAAACTCATCAGGATCACCTTGACAACAGTCATTAAATGTGGCTCATCCATGGCCAAGAAATATGCATCTCGCCTTCCCCTTCTACCTTCCATCAACACCAGCTTCTCCTCCCACACCTTCTCTAACCATTCTCTCATTTTTGTTTTACAAACATTCCTTTTGATCCCTCTCTGTGTCTCTTGACTAATCTTCTTTTCCACGGATAAAGTCATGGCCTACTCATAAAGGATAAAAGGATTAAAGATTGTCCTCCATTATAGATAGAAATCAACAAAAGAACAGCATGGCAACTCAAAACCACATATGATGATACAGAACTACAGAACTTTACAGAAGAATTCCTAAATGATACTTGACTTACCATAATATTTCCTATTAAGTGATAACGACCAAAATGTTCTTCTGACTCTGTAAGGATGACCAAAATGAGCCCCAACTAATCTCATTTTAATGCCTTGAGTTTTTAATATAATTTAAATTACTTTTTTTATTTTAACCAATGCAACATTCTCAAACCTCAAATTTAAGAGTTCGATGTACTTGGACATAGCACTTGCAAGTAAAATGAATTTCAACAATTTGATGTGTCGTGTGCATTTTCATGCATTTTTATTTCTTTGGTTCACTTGCATGATGCATTATCATGCTTTTCAACATGTTTGCACAGTGAGCCTGTATGATGTCAAAGTACTTATATTACGCACTTTTCGATGTGCCTGCATGACGCAATTATATATTTTTTATACAATTATATGGTGTACTTGCATGCTTTATGATGCAATTACACGATGTACTTACATGGTCTTTAATGTGCTTGTGCACTTTCAATGCTCCTACACGATATATTTGCATGTGTTTATGCGTTTGCATCCTTAGTACTTTTTAATGTACTTGCGCATTTTCTAAAGCATCTACACATTACACTTACAATGCTTTTTAATGCATTATGATTGTGTACCCTCACATTTTTCAATGTCATTACTTAATGTGTTTGTGTTTTTATAATAGCAATGCATCTAAAAGCTTCTAGAGGCAATGGAAGAGGAGAAAAGGGTGTCCACATTCGATGTATGTGGACCCTTGTATTAATTGTTGATAGGAGAATCAAATCCGAATTAATTTCATATTTAAGGTGATTAAGGGGCTTCCTAAAATAGGTGCATGCTATTTAGGAAAGAATTTAAAATTCAAATTCATTTGAATTTCAATTAGGAAACTTTCCAAATAATATATGGGCTAAATTAGGAAAGTAGTAATGGTATAATAGAAGGGAATTCAAGAGGGATGGGATGGGTAGGCCGGCGGTTTGGGCATGGGATTTGTAGGCCGGCAGCTTGAGAAGGAGTTGGCTTAGGGTCTGTGAAGGGAGGGGATGACGGAGAGGCTAGGAGCCGTCGGTTGGGGTATGGGAGGAGGGGCCGGCGGCTTGAGGTGGAAAGGGATGAGGTGGCCGGCAGTAGGGGTTGAAGGCAAGGTGGTCGGCGGTTGTAAGGAAGAGGAAGGAAGAATAAAAATAAAAAGATATAAATCGCGAGCCCGGTCTCTACCGGTGGCTGGCGGGTATTGCTTGGCCCTCTCTTAGTGTTCTCTTCTCTCAAGAGCTCATAAAGAGATGAAGAACAAAAGCTGAAATTTTCATTAATCAATCATTAACCTCATACAATAGTGAAGACATCTATATATAGGTCTCAAAATAAGAGAAAATAAAAAGACTCAAATGCTATGGGGGCTACAACATAAAAGAAATCCCTCATAGGGGCACAATGGTAAAAATTGAAATATAAATAAAAGAAATACATAAATGCATCATAAATAGAGACTCTGAATCGTAGTCGTCGATCTACAATTCCTCCGATGGTAGACGCATCGAAATCTCCTGCTCATGTCCTCATCAAAAACTCTATGAATAAGGCCACTAGGAACATACTATCCCTTCGCACATTTACCCAAATGCTTTACATGTTCCCATTCAAATAATTGATTCTAATCTAAATTTCTCTAAAACTAAAGGAATGATAGGTCAGGGGAGAGGTCCTACCAAAAGAAAACCTTGTTTGGCTTAATGTACAAGACCTAAAGCCTCTCAACCTAGCTAATAATCAAACCCCAAGCAGAATCTGAATGACGGCGCTATTGATAATCTGGATTTACATGTTGCATTCAAGAATGGGATAAGATCATGCACCAAACATCCTATTTTTTTATTCCATAACTTACTCATAGCTACTTCCTACGTTCAAAGCTTTTATCACCAAGGTCAACAATATTGCTATAACATGTAGCATCCATGAAGCACTTCAGGAACCATGGTGGAAGAATTTTATTTTGAAAAAAATAAGAGCCCTCCAAAAAATGGAACTTGGCAAACTGTTGATCATCCTAAGAATAAGAAGGTGACTAAAAGTAAATATATATTCACAATAAATTTAAAGCACATGGATAAAGATACAAAGCTTGGTTTGTGGCTCAAGGTTTCAAAAAATATATATATGAGATAAACTATGAAAAAAACATTTACCCATAATGCAAAGTTGAATACATTTCAAGTTCTATTGTCCATTGCACCTAATTTGGACTAGAAACTACATTAAATTGGTATAAAATTTGCCTTCCAAAATAGTGGAAGTGAAAAATACAACTAACTCTAGTGCTTCATGAACATTAAAAACCTCTCAGAGCATTTTGCTCATCTCTATAAGACCGGCGGTAAGTTTATTTCATATAAAATAGCACAACACGTCATTAGCAAATGAAGCCTGCTAATGGTAGAAATATTGTCTACGGTCCACCAACATAAAATTGATTATAAAAGTTTATATTCAAATCTGGAATTGTCATCATAAGAAAATCACATAAAGATATACATAACAGCATATATATATATATATATAATCGCCAGGATCATACCCATTGTTTCTGAAATCAAAATGTCAGCCTTCTCAGGCAATTCCACCTCCTCCACTTTACCTTTGATGACCTGCTAATCATAGACATGTAAAACTGCAAAGCAGACAGAATTTAGGTTTAAAAGTATGGTGTGATAATATGGAACATAAACAAACCGTTATTCTGTTCCCAATAGATGGATTTCCAGCAACCAGTTGGCAAGCATAGTCTGCCATTTCTGATGCTTCAATGGCATAAACATGTTTGGCACCAGCCTGAATGTTACCAATAAATCTTTGAAAAGAATATTAATAGAAGATGGAAATATCTACATTACATTTCATCATGGCATAAATTTTACTTAAATCTTTATCGTGAAGTACCTTAGCAGCAAATAAGGAAAGGATGCTACTACCAGCGCCAACATCCACCACAATGCGGCCATTGAAGTCAGCACAATTTTCAATCATTGCGGCAAAATAAGTTCCTGAAAGTGGAATGCAAGTATGAATCAATAATCTGCAGGGGCTTACTTTGTTTCGGGAATTACATTTCACAGAAGTACAATCACATAAATACTGGTCCAAAAGAAGGTTTATCTACAGCACTAGGAGTCATATGCATTGAAATCCGGTAAACAAACAGCAATCAGTCCACTTGGTTAACCTGTTCTGACATAATCTTGCAACATATTTTGTTGATGAAGCAGCTGTCCATAGTAATGGAAGTACATCATGGCAGAAGTAGCCTCTATTTTGTCATCAAACTTGCATTTAAGAACATTTGATCTGTTTTCCAAAGCACCTGTTGGAAAGAATTGAAAATACTCACAACAACAGCTAAATGTAAAAAGAATAAAGTCATTTATATTTTCCTCATGAGAAGAATTTATGCAAATGACCATGTCAAAATATTATTTCCATTGCAGCTAACAAAAAAAATCATAGTAATTTAGAAAAATATACCATCATATATTTGTTTTCCATGGCACTTACAACCAAAGAACCTCCACATTTAACAAAACAATGCTTAAGTGCCCTCTTAAGGATTCCTTTAAGTTGATAAGAGAGTTCATCCTACCATACCTTTTTTTCTATGAAAAAGAAGCCAAATTTCATCCATCCTAACAAATAATCCACAAAACTATATTTGAGACCTGTATGATATTAAATGTTGAGCAAAAGAAAATATATTAAATTGGGCTCCATGAGCTTGGATCGACTATTCCATCAAAATATTATCTAAATGCATAATACAAGAACCAAAGGTGGCCTGGGTCATCCAAATAAACCTTCATTTTCAGTCTTTTTCATAGGTGATAACACAGACAACAGTACAAAACGCAACTAAGGTTGAACAAAGGCAAGACCAAGTGCTGTTCATAAATCATAAATGATGCGGTGCATCAAGCTGCCGCGGGGAGCTGCTTTAGTTATTTGCCTTAAGCATTAGTTAGTTTAATTAATAGTTATTTGTTTTCTTATTTAAAGTTTTATCATGACCGTTAGTGGTGGCTGCTCCACCAACAGTTTTTTCCTTATTTAGTATGCTGCAGTTCTGTTTTTGCTGCCAGCTTGTCTCTTGCCATTTTGAGCAATGGCATTCCCTGTTTTCTTCTCCGGGAGAAGAAGAATGAGACAGTTTTTGAAGAAATACATTTTCTTGGCTGAAGCCATTACTGTTACATTGCCTTCTTCTATTTCTTTGTTTGTGAACCTGCTTCTTCCCAAAGTATACCACATCATCTTGATATCAGAGCAGCGGCTTGGAAAGATGGCAGAGTCCAGCAAGCGTGCGACGAGCGAGGATAACCGAAGTTTGGAGGCACTTTGGGCTGCGCACGCTGGAGTCGAGAAACGGCTGGATGATCTCACAGCTGCAGTAGATCGTCTAACCGCAGCTTTACGTCGCGAACCACCTCTTGTTCGGACGGGAGACGTTCCTTTCCGAGCCGGACGACCGATTCCGCACACCATCACCCCCGCTGAGGACAACCGGGGATTTCAGAATCGAAATAGGCGGCGCGCAGTATTGATTCCCGAATTTTCAGATTCGGAGGAAGATCAGAACACTTTCAATCCGGAAGGTTTTTCCGATTCTGATGCAGACCTGGCAGAACGACGCCCTCGGCGTTATGCTGGACGAGACAGACATCAGGGCGAGTTTCGAGTGAAGCTGGACATTCCGTTTTTCGATGGGAGATTGCATATCGAAGATTATTTAGACTGGGAGCGGTCAGTCGAGAACTTCTTCGATTATATGGAGATCGAGCCGGAAAAGCAGGTCAAATATGTGGCGTGTAGACTCAAGGGCGGAGCTAGCGCATGGTGGTCACAGTTACTGCAGTGCCGTCGCAGGGAAGGCCGCGGACCAGTCCGCAGTTGGAGCAGAATGAAGCAATTGCTACGCGGGCATTTTCTTCCGACCGATTACGAACAAATGCTATACCTGAAATATCAACATTGCACTCAAGGTAATCGCTCAGTTAGCGAATACACCGAAGAATTTTATAGTTTATCGGCGAGGAATGATTTGAACGAGACGTCAAACCAGCTCGTAGCCAGATACATAGGAGGTTTAAAGGAGAGCATCCAGGATAAATTGGAATTAAGTTCAGTGTGGTCACTTTCGCAGGCTGTGAATTTCGCTCTCAAGGCCGAAATTCAGTTGGGGCGGCACTCAAGAAGCGGTACCTATCGCAAGCAGAACGTGGAAACTGGAATGGATTTAGCAAAGCCATCGGGATCAGCTGTGCGTAAGACACCCGTAGCAGCTGAGGGCAGCGGGAGTTCACAACCACCCAAAATTCTTTATGATCCCAAAGCACCAGTTAAGCCCAATTTTCCCGGCAAGGAGAATCCTTATCCGAGACCACAAGGTCTCAAGTGCTTCCGATGTTTTCAACCAGGACACAAATCGAATGAGTGCCCAAACCGTCAACAATTGCAACTTCTGGAAGGTGAAGGCGAGGAAGAGAACGAATTGTTCGAGGAAGAAGTCGAAGTAGAAGACGTCATTGCAGATGATGGTGAGCCGTTAATCTGTGTGCTTGAGAAGTTATTGTTAGCCCCACGCAAGGTTGTACAGTCGCAGCGACATTGCATATTTAAGACGAAATGCACCATTGGCGGCAAGGTTTGTGATCTTCTAGTGGACAGTGGGTGCACCGAAAATGTGGTGTCCAAGGTGGTCGTGCAAGCCTTACAACTCAAGACGACCAAACACCCCCAGCCGTACAAGATTAGCTGGGTTAAAAAGGGAATGGAAATTTCAGTTACTGAAACATGCCGAGTGCAATTCTCTATCGGAAAACACTATGTGTGCGAGGTGTTGTGTGACGTCGTGGAAATGGACGTCTGTCACCTAATTCTTGGTAGGACATGGCAGTTTGACGTCGGTGCTATCTATGATGGACGAGCCAATACGTACACTTTGGAATGGAAGGGAAAACGACTTCGTCTCTTGCCACATTCCCCCACAACAGACTCTAAAAAGGAATCAGCCCGTCCAGCACTGCATGTAGTAACAGGGAATGGTTTGCTAGCTTCCTGCAAGGAGAATGCGCCTCTATTTGCTTTAATTATTCGGGAATCCGCACCCGATCGTAACTCCTTAGATGACAAGGCCGTGGAACAAGAGCTGATAGGGAATTTGCTTAATCAGTTCCAGGACGTGCTAACTGATGTCGTGACTACATTACCACCTCTACGCTCATTGCAGCACCAAATTGATTTCGTGCCTGGATCAACGTTACCGAATTTACCTCATCACCGTCTGAGTCCAACAGAGCACCAAATTCTACAGGAACTTGTTGATGATCTATTGAAGAATCAGCTGATTCAACCAAGCCTCAGCCCCTGCGCGGTGCCCGCGCTATTGGTTCCAAAAAAAGATGGAAGCTGACGAATGTGTATGGACAGCCGAGCCATTAACAAAATCACAGTTAAATTCCGATTTCTAGTACCACGGTTGGAAGAGCTGTTGGAAAGATTGGCGGGCGCTAGTATCTTCTCCAAGCTTGATCTTCGGAGCGGTTATCACCAAATTCGAATTCGGCCTGGTGACGAGTGGAAGACCGCCTTCAAAACTCGTCATGGTCTCTATGAATGGCGGGTCATGCCGTTCGGATTGTGTAACGCCCCATCGACTTTTATGCGGCTCATGACCGAAGTGCTCAAGCCATTTTTGAATGTCAACTGCGTAGCATACTTTGACGACATCTTAGTCTTCAGCTCGTCGTTGGCTGAGCACATTGCGCATTTGACAGACATTTTCAACGTCCTTCGGCAAAATCAGCTCTTCTTAAACCCGAGTAAGTGCGAATTCGGTGTTTCTACCGTTTATTTCCTTGGGTTCTTTATCTCAGCTGCAGGTGTTCATGTTGATAAGCGGAAAGTGGATGCCATCGTGAGCTGGCCAACTCCGAAGTCCTTCACGGAAGTTCGTAGCTTTCACGGGCTTGCCAATTTCTACCGCCGCTTCATCAAGAATTTCAGTTCGGTGATGGCCCCAATTACTGATTGTTTGAAATCTAAGCAGCTTCAATGGGGCGAAGAACAGGCGAGCAGCTTTGATCAAATCAAGAAGGCCTTATCCACTGCACCAGTCTTAGCCTTACCCAATTTTGACAAGCCATTTCATGTCGACACTGACGCTTCAGGTATTGGGATAGGCGCAGTTTTAAGCCAGGAAAATCGGCCTGTAGAGTTCTTCAGCGAGAAGCTTTGCCCGTCCCGTCAGAAGTGGAGCGTATACGAACAAGAATTGTATGCTGTGGTACGAGCTCTTAAGCAATGGGAGCCATATTTGTTGCATCAAGAGTTTGTTTTGTGCAGTGATCATCGAGCAATTCAGTTCATCAACAAGCAGAAGCACATCAATCGGATGCACGCTAGGTGGATTTTATTCTTACAACGATTTTCGTTTGTGCTGAAGCATAAATCGGGTAAACAAAATGTGGTCGCTGACGCGCTCAGTCGTCGCAATTTACTCCTTACGCAACTTCAAACGGAGATCACGGGGCTAGAATGCTTGAAGGACCTATATGCATCTGATCCAGATTTCAAGGACATTTGGGAAGCTTGTCACCAGGAAAATCCCAGCGTGGAGTACACTATCCGGCACGGTTTTTTGTTCCGTCGAGCTCAACTGTGTATCCCTGAATCTTCATGGAGACCTCAGCTAATCAAGGATGTGCATTGTGGAGGTCTAGCAGCACACGTAGGGCGGAACAACACATATCTTCAGCTTCAGTCCCGATTCTACTGGCCACATCTACACCGGGATGTTATGAGATTTATCGAAAGGTGCCCGGTTTGTCAAAGTTACAAAACTGGGGGACGGCTTAGCGGTCTATACCTGCCATTGCCTACACCCGAGACCATTTGGGAAGACTTAAGTCTTGATTTTGTAATGGGGCTGCCGCGTACGAAGCGAGGGCATGATTCGATCATGGTAGTTGTAGACCGGTTCTCGAAAATGGCGCACTTCGTACCGTGCAAAAAGACCTTTGATGCGCTGAATGTGGCCCGAATTTTCTTTGCTGAAATCGTTCGATTACACGGCTTGCCGAGGAGCTTAACATCGGATCATGATGTTAAGTTTATTAGCAATTTTTGGAAGGAGTTATGGAAGCGTTTGCACACTGATTAAAAGCTGAGTTCAGCTTATCATCCACAAACGGACGGGCAGACTGAAGTCATAAACAGAACTTTAGGCAATATGCTACGATGTGTAGTGTAGGAGCACCCGAAAATGTGGTATGAAATTTTGGGGCAAGCCGAGTTTGCCTATAACAGTATGAC